GCTCTATCTCTTGCTTTGAGCTCCAACCTCGCAGCACCGCCGTGTTTCCTCGTGACTGCGGCTGTGCTGGCGCTGCTGTCTGAGGTGTCCACACATCGAAGCTGGATGCGATGGAACTATCGAGTGACTTCGAGTCGGGCTGCGGCGAGGACGGCGAGCTTGGCGAGGGCCGTGCTCTCTCCGATGCAGCGGAGGGGCGGCGAGCCACGGTAAGTCCCGGCATGGAGTTGCGGCGGGGTGCGGACGGTGCGGAAGCTTGCGGCTCCAGCGGTCCGGTCACCATTTCGGATCGGTGCCGAAGCTCGCCCTCGCCGGCCATTTCGACGTAGCCGTCCTCCTCCCAGAAAGGAACATCCTCATCTTGGTGCCCCGGCCTCGAAAGAAAGCAGAGAAAGGGACGTCTGGTGGAACTCCCGCCACATCCCGCCTCCTCACATCTCTCGGGGCAGGCGAAAAGGCCAGTTCGGCCATCCAGGCCAAGCGAACAACCTTCAGATAGGACACAGCGACACAGCGACAGCCATCTGAGCCTCTGCAAATCTGGCGAGCTGCTCTCAAGCCATGGTGGGCTGCGGCCAGGCCCGGCGTGCTAAAGCCGCTAACGTCTGGATCCAAAGAGGGGCAGGGCATGGCAGGGCATGGCAGGACGGCAGGGCCGGCAGGGCGGAGGGGTCTCAACAGAGGCTGCGAGATCAGCTCAAGCCGTCCTTTCGCCCCGGCCGTCGGATTAAAGAGGCACCCACGCTGCAGGCACCTCACCCAGGTTGCACCTTGGGGCCTATGTGCCCAAGCAGGTGGTAACACTTCACTTTCAGTGAGTGGGCCAGCCCAGCCCGGCATCTCTCCAGGCCAACATGCACGCAAGTCCCGCATGCTCGACCCCCTATAGCTTTCTAAAAACAACCCAGCACTCAGTGCTTTGAGCATCTGAGCCAAGGTTCGGCGAGCGCCGATTTAACGGCGGAAGCTCTTGACGGCCTTAACGGCCTTAACGGCCTTAACGCTTCTCGCTCACTGGGATGGATCTGGGATCCTGGAGACTTCGGAGGCGACGGAAAACCCTAACCTCGCAGGGGGTGCCCAGCCTCAAGGAGCCGCGAATCGTCGAAGACCAGGTTGTCACGGAGGCTTCGGAAGTCCGTGTCCCGGGGCCTGAAAGAGAAATCGGTTTTGTGGCCCATTTGCTCATTCGATGCTTGTCGCTAGTATGTACTCATGCCCTTTTTCTTTTGTTTTGTGTCTTTGTCTGTCATGGCATGGTGGCGGGTGCTGGGAGGTGGGCCTTCGGACGCTCGAGCCTGCATATTTGCACATGCGCGGCGGGCGAGCGCGCGAAGCGCACGGCACGAAGAGAGAGAGATGCATCCCGGCCGGTGCACACCTGCGCTTTTGTTTAGCTTGAAGCAGCTATTTGACTGGCCGCACAGCTTGATATTCAGGTCGAGTCTGTTCGTGCTTTGATCGCTTCTGAACTGATCTGCCAGTCATCTTTTGTCGGCAGCGTGTACTCGCCAAGCTAATCGTGTTGTGAAGTGTGCGGTGCTCATCTCGTCGTTGTTTCGGCTACTCTCGCAGTTTTGATTGCTGATGAAGATGGTCACCACGACGACGACGAGGAGGAGGATGTTGAGCATGATGAGGAGGATCAGGATGCTGCTGATGATGACGACCAGTCTCGCTGCTACAGTTTGACTTCTCTTCCACAATTCTGAGAATGACTACTGTGCCCGTACTACTCCAACACAAGGTGTGCGAGAGCACCCACGTCGACGCCCCTATAACTCTCAAGAGCATCAGTCACAGGAATGGGCGAGTCGGGGCTGAAGTTCTCGCAGCTCTCGCTGAGTTATGAGGCTCTGGCCCTCGCGGCGGTGCGCCTGAGTTGCAAGCGTTTCCGACGGACGAAACACGGGCGGGCGAGAGCAAGCCTGGGTAGCGACGGCCCACTCCCTGGCATCCGAATGACCAGGCGGGCCTTGCCACACTCACATTCACATGAAAACTGCACCCATCTGAACGATCTGCAAAACAGCTGGGTGCGAGACGAGGTCTTCAGGAGCAGGAGCCGATCCGCCTCTCGCAGCGATTGTGAGATCAGAAAGAGATGACACACCCCTAGCCAACTACAAGTAGCCTTTCGAGGGGTCGAAACTGTCGAGACCACTTCCGGTGCAAGATTTTCCTGGATCAACATGGAGTGACATTCGCAGGAAGAAGCCCAGCTCAAGCCCAAGCCTTCGTGTCGGGTAGCAGCACTGGAAAACGAGGCGAACGGCCCCAGTTCGCTGGCGGGCGCTCGGGGCGCTCCTGCTCGAGCCCGTTGCTCAACCCGACTCATCTCTGGTCAGCTGCTGGCCTCCTCACTGAAGGCCACGGAAGCTGTCACCGATGTGGCCGTGGAGTGCACCGGCGGGTGCAAAGCTTGCAGAGGAGCATGGGCCTGTTCTCTCCTCCCTTCCTCTCTCTTCCCTTCTTTCTTTCGCCAGAGCTCTTCCTCTCTCTCTCCCTCTCTCTCCTCTTGCACCGGACCTGGTGGCTGCGGAAGCCCTCCCGCGAAAAGAAAGGTCGCGGAAATGTGGTGTATACCGACAGCACCTCGAGCTTGGACGGAGCCCGTCAGCATTGCTATTGTCTGCTACGGCCTGCTTGCTGCAGAAGTCGTAGTGCTTCTTGCGGTGCTGGTCTTCCCTCGTCACATAAGCCTTCACACAGTCTAACAGCGCTCCTCGCAATAATCGATCAAGGGATGGCAGGCCGTCCTCCAGCAACTGCCGGCGTGTCTTTGCCTGTTGGCCCATGCTGATAGTCTCACACTTCGAAGGTTGCGGCCTCCTGCCTCTACAACAGACCTTGTCGCATAAACCCATAAGCCCTTGCCCCCGCAGGCTGGGGTTTGGGTGGCTTTCGGACCGTTAAAAACCTGCTGCCCTGGCCCTCACAGCGATCTGCCTTGGCCTTCAGAGGACCACTCGGACCTTAGAGAGAGACTCGAGGTTTCTCAAAACATGTCACGGCTACGTGATGCTACTCTGCCTGGGCGACGCTCCGGATGTTCGGGACGCTCCTGCGATTCCCGCTCCGACCTCTCTGGCGCCTGCGCACCATGGATGCAGTTCTATAGTCCCACCACGTCCCACCTTGGGCCCTCGACCAGATACGTGACTGAGTGGCCTCCATGAAACGAGCCGAGTGGATTCCATGTCACCGGCTCTAACGCCAGAGCCGCAACGCTACAGCGGCAAAGTTCCAACGGTACAGAGCAAGCTTCGAGCTACATGACGCGGACACGATGCGCATCCTGCATTTCGACCGGCGCTGCACCCCAGCCACCGTTCACCCGTTCTAATCTAGGACGCACAGCCCTGCTAGCCCTGCGCAGAGCTATCCACCGATGCATTAACTGCCCAAGCTCTGCTTTGCAGATCTCGGCACATGCTTTATCCTCAAGCTTCTCCCGGCACCTCTGGCGCCTGTGCCTCGACTTCTTGCTGGCGCGCCTGCTCGCACCTCCAGAGGGCGCCCTGGCGTGAGCTCACACACAGACTCACCCCTATTCCACACTGCCCTATCCCGGTTTGTGTCTTAGTGAAACTCCGTTGCGCGATTTTGTCCGCAGAATTCTGACAATCCTGACGGAACACATCGTGCCCTTGCACAGCGAAAGACAATCACCGGGGACACACTTGCATCAGATCTCTTGATCGGAAATGTCGTCGTCGGTGATGTGGCTCGATTTGTTTGTCTCACTTTTATGTCTGGCTAGGATGTGACCGCCATGCCCCCCTTCTTCTGCATGGTTTCAGTTTATTAGCTCTTTGTTACAAGGATGACACACACACACCCATATATGCAGGTTGAGATCTTGTGCTAGGCTGGAGTCTGGTGGCCTGATGTTCCTCTGTGATCGTCTGCTCCACCGTGTCGGCAGTGACGAAGCGCCTGGAAACCGGCAATTCGCGGCATGGGGCCCCGACGACAGCCTGCTTGTGCTCCGGGCCAGACGTGCACCGTGTCCCGCGGCTGCCCGTGGCGCCGGGCTCGGCCGATGGCCTGGCGGAGCAAAGCGACGGCCGATGCGCAAGGCACAGATTCAACGGCTTCATGTCTTCCACCGGCACCTGCATCTCGTAGCCAACAGCCTTCTCCGCCGTGGGCGCCAGCATCGGATGCAAGAAAATCACATGGCTGGCTGCCGTCAAATTCGTACCTCACGGAAGGGACATCTGGAAAGTGAAGTGCATCATGGAGCTCGTCCCAGCAGGCCTGAGGCACTTTGCGCCAAGGAAAGTAAAAGGACAAAGGTGCGCGACTGGGGATTGCTTTGCCAGTCGCGGATAATCCCGGCACGCCTCGCTTGTTCTTCGTACGACATCAACGGATTCACCGGATGAGCTGTGGTCATAGGCTCTCAGGTCCCAACACACCCACACCTCCTTGTAGCATCGTGCAGGGAATGCCGAACTCTGTCAATGCAGAGCACACCTCGTTGCAGTGGGAGCATGGCAGAAGGCAATGCTTGACGAAGCTGAATGCTTCATCAAGCACACGTAAACAAGACTTTAAAACAATGTGATGACTAGATAACATGTTACCTAGTATTGCAGCAGGATGATACTTAGAATGTGTTGACTAGATAACATGTTACCTAGTATTGCAGCAGGATGATGCTTAGAATGTGATGACTAGACAACATGTTACCTAGTATTGCAGCAGGCTCTTACTTAGAATGTGATGACTAGATAACATGTTGCCGAGTATTCCAGCAGGATGATACTTAGAATGTGGTGACCACATAACATGTTACCTAGTATTGCAGCAGGATCTTACTTAGGTTGTGTCTAAGCAACATGTAAACTAGTATTGCAGCAGGATGTTATTTAGGTTCTGTCCCAGCACCATGTTAGCTAGTATTGCAGCAGGATGTTACTTATCTAGTGGTGACCAGGTAACATGCTAAAGGGTTTCAGAGGTTTAGGTGCTTTAGGGGGTTCAGGGGGTTAGGAGGTTTAGGGGGTTTAGGGGTTTAGTGGCCTAGGGGTTTCCAGGTTTGGGGTCCAGGGCTTAGGGTTTAAGTGCTCAGGGTTTAGGGTTTTAGCTGAGAAACTTCCCTAAACCCTAAACCCCTAAACCCTAAACCCTAAACCGCATGGTATGCTGAGAGATATGGTGGGTCTGATGGAAGAATCCTCTCGACTGAGCCAGCACGATGCACGGCAACATGACTTTGTCGCACGCCGGTGCCCTTTCGACACGGAAGATCGGCAAGTGGAGGATGCTGTGGGAACACTCGTCCAACCCATTATCGGGTTTGGATTCATTTGAGTCCCACGCCCACAAGCCTGATCCACCAGCCAGGGTGGCAGTTTAAGGAGGCGACCTCCCTCTGGGGGTCTCGGCTGCGGGTTGCCTGATTGCAACTTGTTGTGCCCATGCATGATGCGGGGGGTCGGTCTTCTGACATCCCAGGCCACAAATGAAAACAGGGTGACCTGCTCCCGCATGGGCATAGTTCAGACATGCTCACAAGCCACAAACTACATGTCAGTTGCAACCATGTTTTGGCCTGCAAGGCTTTCTTTTTTCTCGTCAAGGCACACATGTGGTGGCGTTTTAGCTACTCAGATTTCTTATCTGATACCGAGAACATGTTACTTAGACCGCAGATCTGCTACTTAGCCTTCGGAAGTGTTGTTACTTGGAAGGGAGAACTGCTACTTAGATTTGTTATCTGATACCTAGAAAATGTTATTTGGATCGCAGATATGCTACTTAGCCTTCGCCTAGAAAATGTTATTTAGACCGCAGATATGCTACTTATAGCCTTCGCATCTGTTGTTACTTAGACAGGATAAATGCTACTTAGATTTCTGAGACCTCATGCCCTGAGCACAAACCACCGAACAGATGTTTTGCTTCCCGCAGTGGCCACTGTGTGCAAAGTCTACAGATCTAGGCGGCAGGGTCGATGATAATACCAGCATCTATCTTGGCGGCAACTTCAGCGGGGGGTCTAGAGGTTGCTACTTAGATGGGCTGTTCTTTTGTGACTTCCAAAATTATGTTACGTAGATCCTGTTACTTAGAGTAAGTTCTTCAGTATGTTACCTAGACTTTCCTTTGGGTCTTGCTAGTTCCTACCGAAAGGCTGCTACTTACATGACCAGACTCATCCAAAGCACCTAAACCCAAAAAGCGCTCAACCCCCACGACCCCTATAAAACCTACCCCAGCAACCCCTCAACTCCCCAAAGCCCAAAACCCTTAAACCCCTAAACCCCTAAACCCTGCAACTCCCCAAACCCCTCAACCCCAAAACCCCTAAACCCAGAACCCTCTGAACTCCCAAAACACGTAAACCCCAACACCCTTAAAACCCAACACCCCTGAAAACACCAAAACCCCTGAACTAGACCCCTAGGCCCTAGACCCCTCAAAACCCCAAAACCACTAAACCCCAGCACACCTAAACCCCTAAACCCCTAAACCCCAACACACCTAAGGCCCCTAAACTAAACCCCCATAAACCCCAACACACCTAAACCCCTAAACCCCAACACACCTAAACCCCTAAACCCCTAAACCCCAACACACCTAAACCCCAAAACCCCTAAACCTGAACACCCCAAAACCCCAAAACCCCTGCTCGGCCGATTGTTTCTTTCACGAAGACGCCACGAAGATGCCACCGCACGTCCCAGCCAGCGGCAGCCCACCTGCCAGTTGGTTGGATGCTGCTAGCTAGCAGCATTGTCGGGCTACCTAGAACTAAACCAATAAGCGTGGCAGCTGACCTGGCGGCAGCGGCGCCGAAAGTTGCTGGCATGTCGGCCGAGGAGGGCTGGTGCTAAAACCCGAAGCAGGCGGGCATTATTCCGAAATCACTAGGGGGGGTGAGGCGCTTACTTCATGCCGCCTTGTTCTAATCCAGCCACGAATCTAGTTCTACTACTGGAAACTTAATTAAGGGTGGGAGTGGCATAAGGGCTCGGGTCTTAGGGTGTGTTCTCGGTCGTCTCCTTGTCCTCGCTGTAGTAGTCTCAGACTGCCGCTTGCAAGCGTCTGGGTTGGGCATGTGCTGGCTGACCGATTTTGCCCGTGTTGTGGGAAAGCACACAACGGGCACTTCGTGCAGCAGGACGCATTAGGTGCCGGTGCCGAGTGTCCTGGCCCTGGAGGCTCACTTCAAGAGTCGTGTTCTCTGAGCCGCGTGACGCTGTCAGGTAGTCACGCTGTGTCCGACACCTCGCGTCAGACCCAGAGGAGCGCTTCAACCGTCTGTTGCAGGCCATGATGGTCGGCTGGGAATTGCACAGCGTGCCGCCTGAGCCCGAAGGAAGGGGCCGCCTGGACGACTGGCTGGCCGCCGTTGCTCGAGCTGCCTGGACGACGACTGGCATCGAGAGGCCGTTGACTGGCTGGGTGCCTGTTTGCTTGGTCATGGCTTTCTGAACGACTCTCGGGTTTAGGGTTTAGGGTTGCCACTTAGCAAGGACGAGCCCGCATTGCAGGGTTAGTTCGGAAACAAGTGGCGGGGGTAGGGCTCACGTCCAAAAGTCCCCGTACCCCTTGCCGCCCAAGACGGTAAACCCAAACCCCTTGCCGCCCAAGACGGTAAACCCAAAATTTGCTCCACCCTCTTAAGACTAAAACCCTAAACCCTCCTAACCCTCAAGTCCCCGGCCCTGCACTACCCCTTGCCTGAAACCCCACACTGAGAAACTCCACCCTAAACCAAAAACTCTAAGCCCACAGCCCAGGCCCTAGATCCTGTATCCTTAAACCCGAAACTCCCGGACCCCGGCCCCCGACCCTGTAAACCCTTACTCTGAAGCCTTAAACTGAACCCTAAACCCAAGCCCCAAATCCAAAGCCTCCAAGTTAGATTCACCCCAACTTCTAGATTCCCGCCAAACTCCAAGCCGTAGCCCTACACCCGAAGTTGCAAGTCCTGATCCACCGAGGCCCCGGACTCCTCTCCACCCTAAAACCCTGAGCCCTAAACCCTAAGCCCCATAAGCCCTAAACGCCGGGAACCCGCTCCAAAGTCCACCATAGCCCAACAACCGAAACTCGACGTCCTAAACCATGAAATGCCGCAAGACACATAAAAAAAACCGACATCCTATAAAGCCTAAACCCTAAACCCGATTTACAGACTTTCGGGGTTAAGGCTTGAGGATTTAGGGCCAGGTTTGCAGGGTTTAGGTTTAGGGTTCGGGGAGAGCTTGGGGCTTGTGGTTTAGAGTTTAGGGTGGAGTTTTCAATAAAGGGTGCGGGGCAGGTGTCCGGTGAATTTCAGATTTAAGGATACAGGGTCCGGGGACTTAAGGGCTAAACTGGGACTTTGAAGTTTAGGGTTTGGCGGTTTAGGGTTGGGGCCTGGGTTCGGGGACTTTGGGCTTAGTGTCTGGGGCTTGGGGGGGAAATTAGGGTTTACAGTTTAGACTCCTGAACGTCAAACCCCCGGCCTCTGAAAAGACGGGCAGCCATGTCAGCGGAAAACCTGGATTTTGCTTCTTGTTACTAGGGCAAAGGAGGGTGCCGGTTCCCTCATCAGTGCCTGTAAATGCCATGCTCCACCCGGGGACTACCAAATGGGAGGCCTGAATCTAGGGAGATCCACTTCCATTCGAAGAGGCCAGATGAGCCAAACATAATATTCGCAGCATAGGGGCCTTCAGGATTGACTTTTTGCGGGGCATAGTCTAGAAATTTGGGGACCAACCGGGGGCGGTGTTGAGGAGGCCGGCACGGCAGACAGAATTTCAGATGATACCTAGGTGCGAAAAGAGCCCTGGGGAGGCAAGAAGTTTGGTGGACTTGCGGCGGAGGCCACCGTGCATGCAAGTGTCGAAGACGCAGGACTCAAGCGGAGCCAAGAGGGAGGCACAACCCATGTCAGAGGCAATGCGATCCAAGGCGGGCCACAACCAGGAGCGGCTCGGGTTCTCGATGGAAACAGTGGCATGCCGGTCGAGGGAGTAGCGCACAGCACGAACGGCGAAGGCATAGACATGGTTGGCCTGCTGAACTTTGCGACGCTCAGGTGGAGTCAAACCCGGCAAGCCCAGCGGATGCTGGGAACTGCGCAACTGGCGCGGCGCCTGCATATGACGGAGGCGGTTCGGCAGAGCACGCTCTCGTGCTCGAGAGCAGGTGCCACAGGGCAGCCCACAATGCACAAGAGGCTGGGACGCAAGCCACCGTCACAGAAGGTCCTGATTCTGGTCATCAGAAAGATCCAAGGGACAAATGGAGTGCAGTGGAGAATGCTGGTTGTACTGGTGGTCAACGGCCAAGGTAGAGAACCCCAGGGAGCGCAGGGCAGCGGAAAGGGCACCGGAGCCAGCGCACAGCTCAACACAGAGGGAGCGGCTAACAGGCATGGGCACGGTGTCAGAGACTGTGACATAAAAACATATTACCTAATCAGGAACATGTTACCTAGTCAGAGATATAAACCTGTTACCTAGTCTCCATGTTACCTAGGAACATGTTACCTAGTCTGACAGAAACTTGTTACCTAGTCTCCTCGTTACCTAGGAAGATGTTACCTAGTCAAAAATAAAAACCTGTTACCAAGTCTCCATGTTACCTAGGAACATGTTTTACCTAGCCAGAGAGAAACATGTTACCTAGTCTCCTTGTTACCTAGGAAGATGTTACCTAGTCAGAGATAAAAAAAAACTGTTACCTAGTTAGACAGCAACACGTCCCGGCCAGCAGCAGCCCACCTGCCAGTTGGTTGGATGCTGCTAGCTAGCAGCATTGTCGGGCTACCTAGAGTTTCCTGTTACTTAGAAGAGATGCTACCTAGAGCTTCCTGTTACTTAGAATAGATGCTACTTAGAGTTTTTCCCCCCCTATTAAACCCTATTAAACCCCTTTAAACCCTATTAAATAAACCCTATTAAACCCTAAACCCTAAACCCTTAAACCCTAAACCCTAAACCCTAAACCCTGCCCACTCCCGGTCGTTGGCTTCTTCCTCTGCGGAGGTGTCCGCCACAACCTCGACCAGGTCGTCCTCGGCAGCATCATCATGGGCAGCATCTTCGCCCTCTCCGGTCTCCCCAGAGGGGGCCGTCCACTACTTTGCTTGCCATGCTTCAGCCTCTGCTGCTTCTCTGGCCTCAGCCTCGCGTGCTGCCCGACGTTCAGCCCTGGCGCGAAGTTCGCCGGCTGTTCTGCGCCTCGTGCCGTCGGGTCGCACCCGGGCTCTCTGGCCCACACGGCGAGTGCGGGGCATGGTGGTGAAAAATTTCACCCTAGCTTGCGGGGGGTAGCTGGGGCTGAGGTGTGCTTCATAAACCTTAGCCGACCTTCTCGGTGGCTGGGTGGCACATGATAATAGGTGTCTGCCGGGAGTTGACCGGGCAAAGGTCTCAGTGAGGGACATGCAATTCAAACAGCGTCTGTGCGGGTCATGCAGGTCATGCCGCTGTGGGGGCCTGAGGGGCCAAGTGACGTCCAGTTCCGCGGCAATGCTGCGAGAGACAAGTGCTACAGATGCAAGCAGGCTGCCCGAAGCTCCGTCCCAGCAACAAAGGGTGAGCATGGCAAACGAGGTAAACCAACCCTGATGCCAAAGCCCGGGGCGCTGGCCTTGTGTTGCCTGGTCGCCTCTGCCGTGGATGTGGGACAGCAGTCTCTTGTGACCAAGGACCTGTGCTATGGTCGCACTCCTAGCGAAAGGTGTAGAGGGAGCATTGAACACCAGGTGCGGCTCCCAGTAGGGGCCGACTGAGGCTGAGACCAACCAAATCGAGGGCCTGGCACAAAGGATGACACCATAGTCCTATCTGTGTAACATACAGCACAAGCGGCATGTCGACTGGATGGCATGGCACACTCATCCGAGGCTTCGCTTTTCATACATCCTGCAGGTGCGTCCACGGTCTCAGCTCTAAGGGTGGGAGAACCGAACAAACAACGAGATGAACACGCCGTCTCCATGCACGTCCACGTCGATGAGATTCGCACGCGCTCGAGGCACCGGCGCACCAGGCGGTGGCCGCACCAGATCGCGGAATGCACGCAGCGAGGCCTCATCTGGGGTAGCTGCCGGCGGCTCTGTAGTAGTTCCAGGCTGCGCAAAGAACCCTTCGTATGCATCGCGCAAGGTGCCGGCACGATAGTGTCTGGCGACATCCTCGACTGATTCTCCTCTCCCTGCAAGGCTGAGGGCTGCAGAGATCTCTGGATCCAAGGCTGTGCCTCCTGCTCGGACTCCCTCTGGGGCTGCTGCAGTAGGATTCGGCTCCCCCAGGGGGGGCCGCTTCAGTGCGCCGTGGGACAAGCGGCGATGAAGAGCGGTCCCTGGAGCGAGACCACTTCTGATAAGGCAGCCGCTCGAATGAAGGGATTGCAAGCTGCTCTTCGCTCGCTGAGCTGGTGCCTGCGACCCGCTGCATCTTGGCTGGCGACTCTTGGAGGTGCTTGGCCTCAAAGAGATCATCAGCCATCTCTTCGGCTGCATCCTTCATACCCTTGATGTCATTGCAGGCATCCAACTCCGCCTGCTCGCGGTCAATCTTTCGCTTCTGGGTCTCCAGTTTGGCCAACTCCTTGTGGGCCTGTTTTTCGATCATGACTTTGCGTTTCCACTCGGTGAGGGCGTCCTTCTCCGCCATTTTCTCATGGATGATCTTCCTGCCAGTCATCTGGCTCAGCACCCCGCAGGAGTGCCCACCACCAGGAAGCCCCAGGCAGCCTTTGCAGTTGGCCATCTTCATGATATAAGGTGAGCATACATCACAATAGCACCCGAGCCAAGGTACACGGCCCTTGGCCTTGCTCAACGGATCTTCGGCCGCTTGCTCCTTCTTGGCCAGCCATTCCTGCACGTAGCCACGTGCGGCCTGTAGCCGGAGCCATCTTTCTGGATCGCCACCTTTGTCCGGGTGGTAAACCAAAGCCAGCTTCCGGAAGGCTGCTTCGACCTCCTCGCTCTTGCCGGGGACGGATTCCAGCTCCAAAAGGTTCAGAGCTTCTGCAAGGCTTTTGGGTCGCAGAATTTCGGTCGGTCTGGCAGCCATGGCGTCTGGAGACAAAGTACTCAGGCAAGCTTTTGGATGCCTCGGTGCTGAAACGCCTGCACGAGTAACAAATCTTGTCAAGTTCTGGGTTTTGGGTTCCAGGGTTGTGGGTTTCGGGGTTTGTGTTGTTTCGGGATGCTCCGGTTTCTGGCCTTTGGGGAAAAAGCTTTGGGGCCGGACCTAAACTGTGCCCATGCATGCTACAGACTCCGTGCCTGCCTGCTTGATTGTCACGGCACACAGACTTTCAGATGAGACCTAGAGTCTGCTTTCGGACTTGCAACTGACAGCTCTGGCTGTGACATGAAAGCATGTTACCTCGTCAGGAACATGTTACCTAGTCTCACAAGCTCCAGGCACTCTGTGACCCTTTTTGAACCACACCCCTCGTCTCAGCTGTGGTTTTCCCCGTAATTGTTTCCATGCGGCATGGAAGCTCTGGTCTCCTAGCATGCATGGATATGTCGCTTTGGCCTTCGCCTTCGCCTTTGCCTTCGGCTGCTTTCCGGGGTCCTCTTTCTCCGTCGGGGCAGCTTTGGCCTTCGCCTTTGCCTTCGGCTGCTTGCCGGGGTTCTCTTCCTCCGTCGGCTCAACCTGTTCTTCCTCCTTGTCGGTCGGGTCTGCGGCTCCCTCGAGGTTTGCCTTTGCACCCTTTCGCTTCAAGCCCGAGCTCGCATCCATGGCTACACTGGTTTTCCCCGTCATTGTTTCCATGCGGCATGGAAGCTCTGGTCTCCTAGCATGCATGGATATGTCATGTTCGAATGCCAACACCTGACACCACTCTAGCTTCTTACTTCGAGCAGAAATCCGGATTCCGACACGTTACACATCAAGCCTTTGGACTAAATGCTAGAAACTTATTGCTGCCCATGTTGTCGAGTATTGCTGGTACTTAAATTGTGTCTGAGCACCGTGGTACTTAGCATTGCTTCAGGCTGTTACTTAGATTGTGGTGACTAGATAACATGTTACCTAGTTTTGCTGCACGCTATTACTTAGAATGTGGTGACTAGATAACATGTTACCTAGTATTGCAGCAGGCTATTACTTAGAATGTGGTGACTAGGTAACATGTTACCTAGTATTGCAGCAGGCTATTACTTAGAATGTGATGACTAGATAACCACAGCTGACCTTGCGCTTTAGGTCGTCGAACTGCACGAAGAGGATGACCTCGAATCGACGTGTAGACCGACGTTCTCATATCGCTCCACACCCTGGCCTTGGCGCTGCAGTCCTCCGCACGGAGCTCGGATAACTTCCGAGCCTTTCTCGGATCGCAACACATCGCGCCACGTGCCGCGCAACGCGTCACAAAACCGCGTCATCACCGGCTGAGCTTGGTGCCAAAGATGCGAGCTTGGTGCCGTACTTGTCTAGCGGCACACCTGTGAAGGCTTCCAGCCCAGCTGCCTTACAATTGGTTTAGAATCGCACCTTGTGCCGTGTGAGGCATCAGCGTCGCAGCCCTCTCATCACTAGCAGCCGGTGGAGCAGCAGCAGCCTCTATCTCTGCAACCAACGGTTGCACGTCCCGCAAAGACAGACTCCGTTGACCTGAAAGCAGCGCACAGCCTTCCACATTGACTCTGACACACTCTGATGTATAGTCACTACAAGAATGGGTGGAGGAAACCAAGAATAGGAGGACATGAAGGAATGCGATGCTCCGTTTTCTGCACCAGGCGGCACAAGCTGCACCTGCCAAACTTCTCCACTGCTTCGCGGAGGCAATTTATGCCTTGGTCAAGACGTCAGATGGTGAGGTTCCCTCACTCAGAGTTCACATTACCCTCACAACTTGCTTTTGGGCTGCCCTTTGGCCGTACTTTGTCTTTCTTGTTGTCTTCCTGTCGTTCTTTCTTGGCTGCTGTTGCAGCTGCAGCCGTGGTGCAGGGGATCCACCCGCGTCGACCATGCCTTCCGCGCCCCCGTTTCTGTATTTGCAAAAGGAGCGACCCTCTCCCCCCTACTCCAGCCCCCCCCCCCAAATATGGTATGGGAAGCACCTCCTCCCTCCCTCTCTCACTCTTATTCTTCTTCTCCGGGGTTCAGGGAGCGAGTAAAGCTCCCCGCGCCGGATGGCGCGGCCCTGTTGTGGGGCCTTGTGGGGGTGTCGGTAAAAAGACACAGATGCTCGGTTTGCGGAAGAAAAGATACCTCTCTCTCTCTCACACTCACTCTCACACTCTCTCTCTCTCTCTCTCTCTCTCTCTTCACTTCACTTCACTTCGGGGTTCAGGAGGCTTGTCTGGCCCCCCGCGCCGCGAGGCGCGCCCCTGTTTAGAGGCTTTAAGGGGCAACTCTCTCTCTCTCTCGCTCTCTCTCTTGCTCTTCGCTTGCAGGGCGTTTGAACCCCTGCGACCCCTGCGCAGCGTGCTATGCCTGTGTCCGTGCCCGGTCTGTGTGACACTTTGCTTTGGACGCACGGGGGCGGGGGCGAGGCTTTGTCCGCATCGCTCGAGAACTGCACAGCTTAGAGCCCCTCGTCTAGGTAAAGCAGCCCCTGCCTCGCTGAGCTCCCCATGAGTCCGTGTTTCGTTATTTTCAACAAGTTGTTGTCCCGGTCATTGCCGGGTTCTGTCGGGGAGATACCACAACTTGGTCGGCAAGCTACTAGGAAGAGCGCCAGCAATTTCAAGCAATGCAGGGGGTGGACTTTGCAGGTACCAAAGCCCCGTTAAAGTACATCAGGCCCACGCTCTGCATGCGACATCTGCAAATTAAACAGACATACGGGTCACGGGTTCCGTTCAGGTGGAGGAAAGCCGAGGGGAGGGTTTAAGCAATCCCCGTGACCCCCTGCTCTGTTATGGCCTTTGTTGTTGAATGGGCTACATGATTACGTGGAGGTCCCCGTACCAGCAATATCGACCCTGTGTTTAAGGTGATGGCAGCTGAAAGCACAGCAAAAAAGATCCACCGGACTTCATCTGCTGAAGCGTCGGGCTTCTGGGCCCCCGGCAGAAGGCGTGTGCGCAGGGGGTGATGGCCATCTTCTGGGCCTCGCCGCGGCGTGGTGCGAGCAGCTTTGCTCATATGGCCCAGAGCCGCTGCTCGAGGCCGTCGCCGGCAGGTTCTCTTCCAGGCAGACGGAGCAGCTCCGATCCTAGGACTGCAACGTCTCGCACTGTGAGGATCAGTGCGATCCTGCAGCTCTCCTGCCTCAGGCTTGGTTCCTCCAAGGGCAGCAACAGTGCGGCGGAAGAAGTCCATGGAAGTTTCCGCTTCATGGAGTTCACGGAGGTTCTGCGCCTTCAGACGCTGTCTTGGGCCGCTCCCCAGGCTCTCTCTCGCGCTCGCTCTCTCTTCCATGCCTGCTCATTGGCTTGGGCCAAGAGCAGCCGCTCCAGGGCTCTGGCCTGCAGAAAACCGGCTGCGCAGAGACTGCGCACAATTGCATGAGAGACGAGACGGGCACCTCGATTTGCGGCCCCTCTAGCAGCCCCTTCCACTCTTCAAGGCAACCTCGCATCGTCTTTCGGGCCAGGCCGAGCTTCTTTTGTGCATGCTTCGTGCCTCGCTTCGGGCCCTCCGGGCCCAGGAACTGCAAGAGCTCCTGCGCAAGGGAAGTGCATCTTCCAGACCTGGTTTTTTTCTGCACGCTGCCGCTCTCTCGCGTCCTCGCTGGAGGGCTTGTGGCCATCGAGGCACCGGAGCCACTGCTCCCGGTCCTCGCGCTCTGCCGCCAGGAGCTCCCGGTCCAGCTCCTTTCCAACAGAGGCGCTCGGTGCTCGCGGCTCAGAGCCTGAGCCCTGCATAGCCCTGCAGCCCTGCGCCTCGCAAAAGGGCTTTGCCGCGTCGCCGGCGCTGATCAGGGCCTCCTGCCATGCCGCAAGCAGCGATGCACCAGATGACGAGCTGCTCCGCGCGTCACCGTGCCTTGGCCTTTTCCAGTGCACTCCGCCATCCTTTGCCCTCCTTGGCTTTGGCGGACTTGGGCAGCAGATGCCTCGGCATCGAACTTTCTGACAATACCTCGACTTCCCCTTCCCACTGCGTACTCAGAGTGGAGCTGCAGCAAAGCCAGGACGCGGCAGCAGCGGCTCATTTGGTTCCTGGGCACAAGAATCAATGTCCAAGAGGCTTCGCATCTCATCCTCGCTTTTCAATGTTCAACACTTTATCTATCTGAATCAGCAGCAGGCCACTGTTGAGACATGTCCAACCGCGCGCCTGGCACGCACCACACGCCGCCCCTTCTGGTCGTATATCCGCTCACACTCCTGGTGGGCACCTCACAGAGTGTCCATATCCCTCGCGTGGCTTTGAGACAGACGCGTATGATGCGGGCCCATGCTATAGCCAGGACCTACGCCTCATAAGTACTGGAGCAAGAATCCCTATGATGGGAAAGATCAGCTGAACGAGTGTGGCCAAGATGAGGACCTCAAGTGTCCAAGAATAAATGCAACAAAGTGGTGACAATCCCATAGGATCCCATACGTTGAAAACCTCGTGGCTCGACGCACATAGGTCATTCACGACCATTCAGGTAGCCGGTTCAGCAAGCTGCAGGCTAGACAGATTGTTTCAAAGCGGATGCTTCAACTTCGTTTCTGACCTGACAAAGGTTTCACCTCCTTGTTGTAAGCCTCGCGATTTCGGAAGAAGTGATTCCCATCTTCTCGTGGTCTCCGGTGCTCGCGCTACAGGCTCTGATGCCGCGTACGCCTCGGGCTCTGAAATCTTAGCACGCGCAATGGACACCGGTGGTCTTGCACTGGAGTTGCAACCTCTGTCGCCATGTGCAAACAGGAACTTCAGCAGGCAGTCAGAGCTGCGCGCGGCCGCACGAGGGGCTGCTGGCTCACTCAACTGTTGGCGGCCATGGTGGTTCAGATTCCGCGTCAGCTGACGTGAGCACTTGTATGGAGCAGCGTACAGACATGTCTGTTTGTTCAACCCCAAAAGCCGCCGGATGAACCTCCAGAAATCGTCTATCCCTCCTAATCTGGCACCCACACCCCTTTTTCAAGAATAACCATCACAAACATCAAGTCGTGTGGTTTGGGAAGGGTTTGCTTTGCTGATCCGGATTGCGCAATGCCCCTCCAGGGCCCTCTTAGCCGCCGACTGCCCACTTCGCTACCGCCGCCGACTTGGAAGTGGGAGCAAAGCTTCAGCAGCCGCTCCAGGGCGCTCACCGCATCCTGGCTTCGGATGGCTTGGGCCACTACCGCTTGGGCTCGGGCGGCCCTTCAGGACCCTCTGCAGCCTGCGACTGGAAGGCAGCAGCACCTCGGCCCGGTCGCAGTGCCATGGCGCAGATCCCCCACCCCAGTCCCTGAGACCACGGCGCATGCTCTGAAAGTCCGGTGCCTCGTGTGCCTGGCCCAAGTAGAGGGCTCTCTCGGCAGCGGTGTGCCGCACAATGACCACGTGCTCCTGGCATGTCCCAGATCACCACCGCCCACCACATGGTCTTATCTCAGGATCGGTGATGTCCTGGAGCCGGATCGATGCAAGTTCTGCCGTGTTCCTGGGATGTGCTTCAAAACAATCTCGGAATGCCACTTCTCTGGGCCCGCTTTTGGCCCAGGTGCTGCCGCACGAAGACGTCGAGGAAGTTGCCAGCCGTCTCGGTGAGAAGCTTGTCGAACTGGTCGGAGGCCCCACGCAAAACGCCCTTTCCTTTCCTCCGCGGCTCCAAGGCGCCTCCCAGCTCTGCAGGTCGATCTCGCCACCGGTCTGACCAAGCGACCACCACACGGGAAAGGCATGTTACTATGAGCCTGTGATGCCTCGATGTAGCCAGGAAGGTCTACACGGAAGAGGGAGGACATGAAAATGGCACCTGGCTCGCAGGCACTGGCACTGGCCGAGGCCCACACTTCACACCTCTTGCTCCCGCCACTCCCGCCTGCGTTGGTATCAATCGGAGGTGTTCCCGTCAAACCCCAGCGGAAATGCGACCGCAAGAATTGCAGGCTGTTCCTTGCAGGCCGCGCATCCACGAGTGAGACTTGATGCACGTGTTCAACACAGACGGTGAAGTGTAGTTGGTTCGGCACTCGCTCTGTTTCTCGAAGACAATACTCCAAACGATCCTGATTTGCAAATCCGAGTGGGATTCCAGATATATGTGCTCGAAATTCTGCATGTGGCTCTATGCATGGCGGCATTACTGGTATACGGTATCCTGGTATCGTCATTCACACCCAGGCCGCCTGTAAGTGGAGACTTGCTGCTGCATTATTGAACTCACCCCCATGTGCGCCTGCAACATTCACACGGCTGCGCAAGATATGAGGATTGGCCGGCGCTCACAACGGCATCATCGCCGCAAATTGAACAAATTAAACCGAGGCGCTGCTGCGTGCTTTCGAAGCTCTCGAGCTCGTGGAACTGCCAAGAATACTCCCAGAGTCGCACAAACGCACAAGTCCACGACATGCTCAAAGCGTGATGGCACCTTTCGAGGACGAACAATTGAAAGCTTCTCGACTTTCCGAGGTGCCGAAACGGTCTTGTTACCGATCTAGTTTATGGCATTCCAGCTTGCATTGAGCTAAGCCAAAGCCTTTCTGCAACGCAGGCAAAGCGGCACTCTCATCAGAGACTCCCTGAAGCCCTTGGGCTATACCCCCGGGGTCGCCTCATCGAAGATGATCCGCTTCCAGTAGAACATCTCTAGAACGGGAAACCTCCCAAGAAGAGTCCCTCTTTCCGCTGAGCAACTTGGTGCGGCGCAGTGGTGGCTGTGCTGGTTGCGGCCACGCGGCGCCAGGTCCTGCCACTTCCAGACCATCTCACTGCCTTTCCTGCCGCTCCGCAGAGGAACGCGGCCTCGCAAAGGCGAAGGCAAGGACCTGAGGACCTGAGGACCTGAGGGCTCTGAGCTTCGGCAGCGCCTTGCAGAAGGCCACGAACTTGGTTCGGGAGCTTCCAGAGCGAGCCGCCGCCACTGAGCTCCTGAGAGACGCAGCCAAGACGGCACCCGGCGCTGCTGTCTCACGCGGCCTCTCTCTCTCTCTCTCTCGCAAGAGCCCTCTGTTCGGCAGTTCGGCTTCGGCCTCGCGGCGCTTCAGGTAGATCTGTGAGTAGAGCAAGCGATAGGAGCAAATGACCACATCCGCACTGCTCACGTCGCTCGCCTCAGCGTGAAGGCAAGGTCTACGGCCCCAAATGACATCATTCGCAGATGCTAAAAGGCCGAGCCTTGCAGCGAGAAAGTGGGGCGACATTCGACATAGCAAAGATCTTGAGCGGGCACGCAGGTGGAGACCAGCCACTTTTCATTTGTTGCCTGGCACCCCCGGCATCGCTTTGGTATGCAAGACCGCTGCCTGCTCGCCTCAACGGCCGTCCGTCCCAAACGAACTTGGAGATCTCGTTGATCCACTGCTCGAAGAGATTCGACGGAACAATGATCAACGTGCCCTCGGGAGCGCCACAGAGCAGCAACAGCGTGACTCTTGCAGCAGCAGCGGCGCACGTGGGGGCAGGACTCTGGCATCATGGTAATATGAGTGCAACTTCAAGTTAAGTCACGAAGCGAGCTATGCATGATGCAGCATGATGCAGCATGATGCAATGCCCAGCAAAACTGATCCTGCTTGCCTGGGCAGGCAAGAAGCATCCCTCGTCCGCCTGAGAGGCGAAATCTTCGCGAGCTCCCGTCTGCCGTAACTGTCTCAGGCCCGAGCTGGGGGTATGGGTGGGACGGGCGCCCGGAGCTGCCGATCGATGAGCGCAATGCTTGTGGCCTCAGCTCAGCTTCCTCAGTGCCGCTCCTGTCATCAAAGAGGCCCGGGGGCCCGGCGGTCTTCCCGTAGCCGATCTTGTCTGCCAGGATGCCGCCCCGGACGCTGTAGGCCTCACCACGCACAAGGGCGTCTCGAAAAGCTCCGCAGTAGGGCCGCCATGGCCCCCACGGCACAAAGGCGCAGGTCAAGCACCTCTGCACGCAGCACTGCTCGCAGCAGAAGTGAAGAGCTGACCGGTGTCTCAGAGCCGTGCCATCGGTGGCCTCTGCCCAGAAGATGCATCCACTCTCACCACCTCCCCTTGCTTGCCCTGCAAGTGCGGCGCACTCGCATGTTATCTCAACCAATGCGCTTCATGCACCTTCCAATTTTCGTGTGTCGGCCACTTGACCCTGACGTGGGAACCCTCCTGGTGCGCAGGTTGCCAAGGAGCTATGTGCCCAGGGAAAGAATCGCTTGCCTAGCACGCAGGTTGCATCAACGGCGTTCCCGTAAGTCTTGGCAAGGGCAAGATGGCAAGAGTGCAAGCAAAGCAAGGCGATTTCATTACTGACGCCGTCGGACACTGAAGCTTCAACTTTTAGGACTTCTGGACCTGGGGTTCGGGTGGCCCTATCTGGTGCAAAAAGATTTGTGCTCTGCTAGATGTCGAATCTATTGTGTCCTTGTGATCCTGGTGATGGCACTACTGTAAGGTGCTGTTGCACGTCCTTGTGGCGAGACCCATGTTGTAGAAAGACAGACCGACACAGTTTTGGCACCAATGACGTCTAATTGCAAATGCGCGCGGGCACATGCGACCTTGCAGCTCCAGTATGCGTCGCCGGCAACACAATTGCTGTGCACTGCAACGCAGTCATGCGTTGGGTCACTGCTGGTGTTTGTTGGCCCGTCGCGCAAGCTGAGATGGAGGAAACTGGCTTATCTCAGTCGACTCGACAAACACCGACGAGGTACAAACAAGAGCCTCCCCAGTTGACACCTTTGCCAAAACACTTTTCCCGAAAGCGAGGGAGCGTCTGTACTGGCCAATCTTTTCGGCGCCGTTTCGGGACATGCAACTGTCAATGCATGTAACAATCATAGCGACGAGACCTTTCAGGATCGAGATCCTCGCGACTGTCGTCGGTTTCGATCGCAATGTCTCCCTCGTGTCTGAAAAACGTCCACAAATCGCAGGAAGGAGGCCAGTCACCAACATCTTCCTGTCCATCCATCTCACATGACAGGCTGCCCTTGGCTGAGCAGGTGAAGGCACTTCTGCGTGCACCAGCAGTCAGAAAGCAAGCAAGCAAGCAAACAAGTGTGAGAGTGCAGTTCTCCTAAACATGGCCATCGTACATTCAAATCTTCGCCGTCTTTCATCAGAGGGGCATCGGAGACTTATGCAGCTGATGTCAAGTAACGCTACACATGTGGAACGTAGATGGGCGTGTAGGTGGATTGTGTCCCGCACTCCTTTCCCAAGAAGATGCCCGTCATGGACGGGTTGACGCCTCCCCAGCCAAAAGCAGGTGCCTGTAGCCGAGACGCAGACTCTCTCACGTAGTCGGAAGTTTGGGATCCCTCCAGGCAGCCTTCAAGCCAGGGCGAAGCATGACTCTGCAGCCAGGAAGGAGAGCACCAGAGTCTGCGAAAGTCAGCTCCTGTCGCGATGGCCCAGTGGTCACACGACGATACGCGTTATCGCGACGGTGCCAAAATGCAAGACCTGAACGAAGCACCGCACGGTAGTCTCACCTGAGCGTGAGCCGTATCCTTCAAGGAATCCGTAAACACACCTCCTGAGCCCTGAGCCGAAGCGTACCCACTTGTAGGACGTACTCGCCCTCATGCCCCCCTCGTCATGGGTGATCTTGCCGATGCCTGCCGGTCTGTGCATCGGGCACCGTCGGAAAGAAGCGGAGCAGTGGAGCCTCGAAGGGAATCTTTGGGAACTTGCGTCCCCAAACTGTCCAGGAAGGGACCTGACCTTGAACTCTCACAATGCCGTGTAAGACCATCCGCGGTTGTGGAGGGAGGCCCAGCGCGCTCTCCGACAGCTCCACAGCCGCGCCCACAACGAAGCATGATGCTGCGTCGACCTCTGTTTTGCCACGCTGAACACTCGTGCCTCCGTCAGTACTTGCCGCGAAGCCTCCAGATAACCACCCCCGAAAGTGGGCCAGTAGCGGACCCACCTGAAAGGCAGCTCAAGTCCTACTGAGGCAGTGAATGGCTCGCAAGGGGCGCACTCTACAACGAAGGGCTCCGAGTCAGCCTCTTGCGCCAACATCCATTGCAACGACCTGCAAGCGTTTGCTGCTTCGTGGCTTTCAGAACAAACGCTAACTATCTGCGCCTTTGCTGCTCGGGTCTGAGAGGGTGTTGCAAAAAGTGCGGTGGCTGTTCTGCCGAGGCCTCAGAACACAGAAGCTTTCGAAGCTGACCATCTCATGCACCCTGATTCGCATTGCACATGCCACTCCGCACACACCGTACACCCTTTACAAAATAACAAATTCATTCGAGATTTTTTTGGAAGCTCGGTCTAGATCCCACGAGTGAAGAAACCGTCCCTTGGAAAGCACGCAGCACGACTGGGAATCCTGCAACTATTCATTTGCAAATACAATGTAAATGAAGCGGAAATAAGGGGTTAATCCTGTGCAAATGTTCGGCAGGCCTGCTGGAGCCTTGGCTGGAAAGCGTGACTAAAATTTAAAAGGCAACTAAAGTGCAAACGAAATGTAACGGAAGGGTTTGAGCGAGTAGAGAAATGTAAATAAGGCTTAAATACATTGTAACTAAATGCAAATTTTCTGGCCGTTCTGCGACTCGTCGGTGATATGATGTACGACGCTGGGCAACATCGCGAAAGACGGTCTCAAGATGTCTCAGGACTAGAACTGTGCCAAAACCGCACGAAGACTAATCAGAAAGATGTCCGCCGCACCACTGTGCGGCTTGCAGCATCCTGCAAGTTGAAGACTCTTGCAGGATGCCGATTGGCAACGACAAACCATCACACAAATCGCTTGGAAACTCGAGCAGCTTCTTGCGGTCGAAGGAACAAGCAGAGAAACGAGACTCAACAAGATGGCTGATCAAATCTGAACAATGCGGATGGGCAAGCATTTTGTTGCCCTTTCAGAGTCCATCTTTCGACAGCGCTGGAACCCTCGCACCATTGGAATGCTTACAGAATTCTGTACAGGAGGCTTCACTCGGTGTCGGCGGCCTCGTCTCTGTACTCGTAACTTGGATCCACGGGTTCATCATCGACAACTTTTGTTGCAAGATTCCGATTGTAAATTTCTTTGAGAAACTCCCGTTTTGTCAGGTCCTCTAAACCCTGGAGCAGCGCGAGAAGGAGTGGTTCAGCTTACGCAACATAGATCTCCCTGACAGCCCCTTCATCTGCTTTTTTAATCATAGCAGGCCTGTGCCGATACATGAGTTGATGGCACCGATGCTCAAGGCTGTTTGAGTGCCAGGCATCATTCAACATGGACAGTGCCAAAGCCGTGACAATGGTCATAGGACGCTCCTGTGCCGTGAAATCGCAGTTGTAGCTAAGCAGCCTTTGTCCCACACGGCTACTGCGGGTTCGTCCAGGCTTATAGAAGTGGTTCCCGTTTGCATCCACAGGCGAAGCAGAGTGCACCCAGCCGAGTGATTCTGCTTCTGTGTCCAACATGCCGAGTGGGCCAGACAGATACGCTCAAGTGAGTGAGTGGTTGGTAACGCAAAAAGTGAGGTTCTTCTCGAGTTGCTGCAACTGTTCTTCGCGACCCGGAGGCGAGGCGAACTTTGTGTTTGGCCATGGAAGAGCCCGTGCGGATCGTGCCTGAGATAAGAAGGGCAGGGTTTCTGTGCGGAGACCCAGGCATGATTTGGTTACGGTGATGCTGCATGGCGCAAAAGGCCAGTACGACACATCATCAGCGCAGAGCCTTTTGCTTACGCTGGAGAAGTACTGTACCAGGTTGCCAGAAGCCATAGCAGACAGAGTGCTGTTATTGAGCAGAATGGCCAGATCACCAAGCAGCAGCTGGACATAATCGCCATGCTTGACGACCAGAAAAAAACGTGCAGAAGCTGAGGTTCACGAGGTGCAGGACAGGCCTCGGAGGCTCCCAAGAACCAGACCAAGCGTCTTTGCCTCAGCCTAAGCACTCGTTCGGGCCCAGTCTGTCCTGCCAACGAGGATTTCGCAGTACTCAAGATGTGCATATGGCTGGTCTTCCTCCGGAGCAATGCCATCGACAGGCTAACCACGCCAAAACCCCATCGAGGTGCCAAGTACTTTAACGAGATCCGAGAGGCCGACAGAGAGGGTGTGCGACGGATGGTGGAGGAGGTTTGTGTCGGAGCGAGGACGAACGTCGATCAGTTGGAAATGATCCGACAGCGCTGGCCCAGATTCGGGCTCGACAAAAACTTCAACTTCGACCAGAACTTGCAGAAGGCCTGGCTCGGGGGAATGGTTCGGGGATGTTCGGGGAGAATCCCGAGACTTCTCCGAGAAAAGGCCGAGCGCAGGAAGGCGGAGGTTTCAGGCGGAAAAAAAATCAGCCCTCCGGTTGAAAAAGCTGCGCTTTTTGTCCTGAACACATCATTGGAAAGTCTAACGATGCTACCTACTGCCTCCGGTCATCGTGCAACCCTGACGTCCTAACGCCGGAGCCCGCCAAGCTCCCCGGCGTCGTTGGCGTTGTTCAGCAGGCGAAAAGGCCTGGCAGGCACTGGGCCCACCAGTGCCGAAGGCGCCAGACAGGCCCAGGCGCCTAGCCTAGGAAGGAGGAAGGCTCTGGCTCTGGCCCTGGCCGAGAACTCTGAGGACCCGGGCCTTTCGGGTAACTTCCGGACCCGCCAGCTGAAGCTGAGAGCAGCAAAGTCGCTCGGAGGGTATCTCACCTCCAACGATGCAACCGCCAGCAACCGCCAGGCCCCTCAATACAAAGGACCTTCGCCAGGAGGGTCTCGAAGAGACTGTCGAGCAAAGAGTCTTGCACTGCCACGTGCCGTCCTCGCAGCGTCAAAGGCAAAGACAGCATGACGTGCCCTTGACCACTTACATACTGAACATCCACCGACCGTCCTTTGACAGTACTGATATCCTTCTCCAGCTGCCTGGCATAGTGAGCCTGCACCTGCGCCTGACACGGAGCAGAATATCTCAGCTTCACCTGCAATGCGAGCACGCCTTGGCTGCAGAGTGCATCTCCCCAGAACTGCTGCAGTCCTCCAGACTCTGCGACAAAGTGTGCTGCAGGCACAGGACACGGTTTAGGCCTTCAGGGCACTGCTGTCCATCTGGCCCTGCAATGACAAGCACGGCGGGTCCTCCGACATTAGCACGAAGGGACTCAGCTCGACTGGGCACTTTTTTGAAAGCAGGCCTGTGACAGAACCTGCCGGGCCCACTTCTCCAGGGATATTTTGGGCGAGAAAGCCGTCCAGGTGTCCTTTCAAAAAGCGCCCAAAAGACGTACCCTGTGCCAAAAAAGGGCGCCTCCGAGCTGCAGCTCCAGCCGGCTCCCATGCGACGGAGCTCTTCCTGTCAAGCGCAAGCTGAAGAGTCGGAGGCCTCGCCTTTTTCGGACTCTGCCTGGACCTCCAGTGGAAGCTGCGCCTCTGCAGATTCTGCAGTGGCGGACACCTGCGAATCTGGCGCTGTCTGCGTCTGCGCGGGCCGCTGGAGCACTCGGGGGAAATGCACGAATCCGACGTCACGGTGTCCGCCTCCGCCGAGCAGTCTCCAGCTCCGGGGAGGGTCTCTTGCGAGGAGCTTCGACCTCTCAAGAAAACTGTGGGGCACACCAGCGCAAACCCCAGCTCACAGCTCGCGGACCTGCCGCGCCTGCCCCGCTTGCGCTCTCTGCGCCTGTTTCGGGCCCGGGAGCTGCTCGCTCCTTCGGCTCCTTCGGATCCTGGCGCCGCTGTTTGCCTCAGAACGGCCCATGGCCATGGGAAGAGGAAGAGCTCGCAAGGCGCTGTGCGGCCGCAGCGCGGTGGCCCTGCTGCCCTTCCGGCGCCTGACCACGCTTGCCTTCTCAGAGCAACTCACGAAAAACGAACGTGCATGGCGTGGCCGTGCATACAGGCGTTTCTGTAGAAGGGACATACGTATAAGCTTTAGGGAGCCCCTTGAATCCCGCTTTTGTGTCTCAGCTCCGCTGCCTCGAGAGAACGGCTTTGGTGGAGGGTCGATCTCATCAATCTCAATGACGCCGAGTTGCTCCGGACCTGCACATGGCAGGGTCAAAGGACCCCCGACAGCAAAGGAAAAAACGGGTCGACCTCCGCTAAATAAGCGGCAAATGGCAAGCTCGACGTTCTGCCCGCTTGCCTGCAAGGCCTTTGGCAAAGACCCGGCATGACCCGGCATCAAAGAGCTGCTACCATCTGCTACCTGTGCTCTGCTCCTCTCGCCTCGCGGGCAGCTTCTTCCGAGATCGAGGAGCCCTGACGCAAAAGGGAGGTCTGACAACTTCAGCTCTTGGGCCCCCGAGACCGCGCCTCAACCAAGGACAGCAGCTCGGCGAGGGCCACATGGCTTTGGTCCATGGGCCGACCGAGTTCCGAGTTGTCGCGTGTTTTGACGTCCCACTTCCAGACAGTGAGGTGCAGGCTCAAGACGTGCATGTGGCTGTGAAGACTCGCGAGCTGACGCTGAACAGAATGACTTTGCGGCTCGACGAGAACCCCGCGCACACCACGGACCACGAGCCCGGACTCAGCGAAGCCATTTCTGTGAGCGCAGCAGATTGCAGCGGCGCTCTCTCCCAATGAGTCCCAAGTTGCGCCTGCAGACGTGAGATTCCAAGTTGTGGCCTTATCTACATACGTATACTGATTACATCTTCTAGCGGTCGCCTCATGTCGCCTCTCTGGCCCTCTGCTAACCACGTTTGGTGTGAGTCTACGCAATGCGTTCCCCTGCACTGGTTCTCGAGTCTACAGGACTGCTCACTGTTCATCTCACTGCTCATCCTGCGGATCTGGTGCAATTCTCACCAGGTCGTCGATGCGCAGGATGGTGATGGCAGCCTGCGTGGCCACTCAGGTCCAACAAAAACAGAGCCCTGGGCGTCGCGGGCCGAAGCGAAGAGCCCCCTCGCCTCGGTGGCAAACTTGAGGGACTTCAGCTTCGAGACCATCGGCTCCAGGACCCCGTTCACCACCTGCCCGAACCGACGGCAGACTCTCTCAGACTCTCTCCCCTCTCCCCTCTCCCCTCTCTCTCCCCTCCGTCGCTCCCTGGACTCTCTCGCCTGGTTCCGGACGGTGCCATTGATCAGGTCGAGGCCATACCATTTGTAGTCCTTCTTCTTGGGGTCGGAGGCCTGCTGCGATGCATGGTGCCGTACCTGAGGCGGAAGGTGACTCGACGCGCGCCCTACGAAACAGCGCGTCGGCCCACCCTCAGCGCTGCAAGCAGGTCAATGGCGTCCAGGGCCGCGTTGATCGCTAGCGTCTTCGGAATGGTCAGCAGCGCCTTCGACACTCTTAGACTCTTCCGGCTCTTCCGGCTCGAATCCTGCATGCTCCTACCTCAGCAAACTCTGCAATGGCCCACTGCTCGTAGGTGTCAAAAGTTCTCGCATGATCCTTCGCGCAATTGAGGAAACACCATCAACAGCAGCAGCCGGAGAGCTATCAGCACTATGACTCAGTGCTGAATCACATCAGCGCTGGCATCTCAACACGGTGATTTCAGGCGATCAAGAAGACTGCAAGCTTAGCAAGAAAAGCCGGTATTGATTAATCATCCGAAAACTCGCCACTTTCAGCCTGCAGTGCGTAACTCTGAATAGCTTCTATGCCGACCTGGCATGCGCAACTTCAAGCTTGGAACATAGCCCCTGCCATCGATGTTTAAGGCTCCGAAGCTTATGGTGCCATTTCAGACGCCGCTGGCGGTGGTCGAGCTCGACACTTGAAGCCTCAGGCCTTGGGATTTGAGGAAGAGCCGTCCTCCAGGTGCAGACTCAGCGCGGTCTCGACGGCTCCCCCACCTGGAACCACCGCATTGGACTCGAGCGTCCGCGACACGGCGCAGAGAGCATCGTGAACCTCAGACAGGACTGGGTAAACTATAAGGTTCTCAGATGCCCACGCCCGGCCCATGCTGAGAGCTCGACCGATCTGCTCGCTTCCTCCAGCATGAACTCATTGGCCCCTCTGAGAAGGATACTGCAGGCCTGACTCAGCTCACGGCTCTCAAGAGAAGACAAAAGAAGAGCGGCAAGGCCCCATGCATGCAGTGCCCCAAAGCAAGGCCTTGCTCGCTTTGCATCCTTTGATGAAAACGAAGTCGTTGTCGCCAACACGCTCGTTGATGACCTGTGTTACACACGCAGACAGGCAGACAGGTGCAGCTGCCTGATCGTACCCGATTTGTGTGTGTGTGTGTGTGTGTGCGTGTGTCCTCAAGCCTCGTCTGCAGCACCTGCATAGCTGGCGTCGAAAGCTTCGTCGCCCTCAACTGTCGCTAAAGTCAGGAGCACCTGGCCGGTTCCAACGGTCCGTATCCAACCACAACAGAAGTGGAGGTCACCGCAGAGCCTGAGCGCCCGTTACCTTGGCGATGCGCTTGATGTCCTTCTTGTCCACCCGGCGGACTCCCATGACGCCAGCCTGCAAATGCACTGGCACGAAGACATCCCTCGCTTCAATTCTGCAGCAAGATCCCAAAGCTTTTTTCTGCTTCTTGCCGCATTGGACAGTCGGAAGTCGGAAGTGCCATCACCTGGCAAGGAACCGAGGCACAGAATCAAAGGTTGGCATCTCTGTGAACGTTGGGATGCCCCCCAGCATCTTGAAGACCTAAACCCTAAAAATTGAAATTTCTTGAAACTCTCGCCTCTCGAAGTGCTCCAAGCGTCGCTGCCGCATCGCCTTCGCATCTGTGTTGGCGTCCGATGCCATGAGCTTTCCACCCCTCGCACCAGCTCCAAGACAGCCTCTCTCTCCCTCCTCTGCTTCCGCTGCAAGCATTCTGCGACTGCGACCGAGGTGCAAGGCACGGCCCGCCGCGTCGTCCTCAGCTTTGCCATGTCCGTGCGGAAGCGGCTTCAGGCTTCCCTTGCTTGGCCCGCAACCATCTGAAGATGGCCAGTGCCTTGTCCTTGTGGCCTTCTTGGCCCGGATCTCGGTCGAGGCGGTTTCGCGACGTCACCGCGAGTCTCGCAAGTTTCGCAGCCCCTAAAGAGGCCCTAAGTCACCAGCAGCTTCGCATTCGCCCACCAAGGCTCCTCAGGGGCTTCGGTGGTTTCCTCCGGTACCAGCTCATGCGTCCGATCCTGGCCACACATCCACCGACAACATTGCAAGAAGGAGGCTGAAGCAGGTAGCAGCCGCCTCACCATCTGTCTTCCAGCATGCTTGCCCCATCGCAAGCTTGTGCTGCATCGGATAGGCACTGCTGCTGCTGCCGCCGCTGCTAGTACGGCTACTGCCGATCCTACTGATTGTGGATGCTGCTACTGCGACTACCACTGCTACTACTGACGATGACGCGACGGCGATGCGGCTGCCACTGCAAGTAACTCAAGCACGAACTGCTGAACTGCTACTCGATACCGTCGATACCGACGGCAAATAGAACAAGCGAGATCCTTCGGGCTGCGTTGCACCGGGAGCCGGAGAGCCAGAAGCGGGCGTGGTGGCGTGGCGGCGTGACAAGCAGCGCGAACCGCAAGCGTCGGAGACACGCGCAGTGAGCGCCCCAACCTCGACCAAGTACTTCATCGCAAAATCATCGATGCCCTTCGTGGTGAAGATTGCATTCACCCCGGTGTCCAGGATCTTCTGGATCTTTTCCTCAGAAGTCGGGCCTCCTTGAGCCCTCGAATAAAGGAGGCTCTTTTTGCAGGCTGTCTAAGGAGCTGTCCTTGGTGATGTCCATCTCCTTCTGCCGCACTCGCTCGAGCTCCTCCGGGTCGTCGATGACGATGTTAACGTTCATGGACATGCGATGCTTCTTCAGGTCAAAATCCAGCAAGGCCTGGGGCGGTGTGCCCATGCAGAGCGGCGCCACATGCCCATCTCTAAGGCAAGCGCTATCTTGGCTGGTGCAACCCAGGCAGGCATTTCCTGGCAAGTTCGTGCAGCGGCAGCTAGCACAGCTCTCGTATATTCGGCTTGTTCCGTCTGCAGCCAAGGCCTGCGAAGCCCTCATTATCCGCATGGCATACCCGTTGGGGATCAGCGTGGACTCGTGGCTACTCTGGCCGTGGGACTGGAGAACGTTGATCTCCAGGCAGGGTAGGCTTGTTGCACCAGTCTACAACACACTGACAACGCTGCATGAACACTACGTGGAACCTTGCCTGATTCACGGGGTACTTTGCCTTGCCCAGCGGATTCACGATCTGGCGACAGGCGAAGAAGCGCACGGTAGAGAAGCTCGAGCTGTCGCGGAAAGAAATGCGAGGACTGCATCTGCAAGCCCTGCAGCGGGACGCCTTCACAGCCTTGACCGCGTCAACGATGATCTGACAAAACACGGCCTGGGAGAAAGGTGGCAAGTAGGAGACCCAAACATCTGCACAGGTCAGAGGCCGGAGGGCTGAGCCCCCTGGCACTCTCCGAGCCAATGAACTTGGAGGACAGCGACGTCTTGGCGATGTTCATCAAGGTGTCCTGCGGATGCGACTGAAGATGCTTCAAAGCATGCTTTGACGTGGCCAGAGCGGCGCAGCGGAGGAGCCTGTTCCAGCGTGTCCACCTTCAAGCTGAGGTGCTCCTGACTCCCGGCGACCCAAGAAGAGACTCCCTGAAGCACTCCCTCGCCGTCAGCATCCTGTATGTACTTGATGGACTCGCGCATGGCGATGCGGTATCCCGCGATAATCGTCTGCCCAGACGAAGGCATGAAAGACATGACAGTAACTGAATCCGAAGTCATTCTGCAATGGAGCACATCCGGCCGTGGGGTGGATGTTGTTCTTCACCAAATCATTTGCCCTCTTTAGCCTGGACTGGCAGCACTTGCATACGGGTCCACCCTGTTCCATGGTTGCTTGACAGCTTGACAACCCCTGTCTGAAACCTGTTCCTCTTCGCAGCAGGGCCTACAGCTTTCTTTAGCTTCATGAACACTACTACCGAGAGCGTCTTGCAACACAGGCACAGCTCGGCAGCGATGATCACGACAGAGGTTGTCCCGTCCCCCACTTCTGAGTCCTGTGCCAACTGTGTTTGCCTGTGCCTAGAACCTTGGCACTGACAACAACACATCAGCAAGCTGCGCCTGCAGATTGGCCAGCTCGACCAAAACCTTCGCTGCCGGGTGCTCCACCTGCACGTGCCGAAAATGAAGGATACCTCTTGAACAGTTGTCGTAGAGCTTGCACACACACACACACACATACAAAGAGCCACACGCGCGCGCCCGTGCGCGCACACGCGACGCAGAAGTGCCTCGAGCTGCTTTAAGACCGTCGCACCGTCGTTGGTGATTGTCACATCACCGATGTCATCCACCAACATCTTGTCCAGGCCTTGCGGTCCCAAGGATGATTTCAGGATGTTCGCCAGGGCCTCAAGTAGCAGAGCACTGCCATCACACTAGCAAGCGACAAGGTCAAATGCCCAAGTCTCCCGCCATGACTGCTGTGACATTGGCCGACCGCACATCTGCGCCGCTTTCGCGCTGGCCTGCAACTTGTTGTTTGCCGCTTTCACGTGTCCGGTTCCAACTCCGTCCTTGGATCGTGAGCCCCAACTCGGAAGCCATGGCACCTGTGGCTTCGCAGATCCTGGAACCGCACGGCGTCAAAAAGATGCTTCGATGTCGAGCACAGCATAATTGATGTATTAGTGCTTGCCAACAGCACGCAGTACGATACCACGAGCATCCCGCCCATACACAAGATATCATGGCAACAACCGGCATATTTTTGAGTCTTTGATCACGTCAAAGTTGGCATCACAGCTGTAGCAAATGTCGTATAAAAAATTGAACCAAGCTAGGATGCCAACTGAACGTCAAAGTTATCCGAACATAAGTTTTCATTGGATTTCAGCCTGGTGAAATCTTGTTGGGACCTTCACCCTCTTACAAACATGATTCTCGCACGAGCAAGCAATGCATCAAAAAAATGAGACTTCGTTTGAGGAAACATGAACCAAAACGAATGAGATGAGTTGTGCTAAAATGGAAAATGTCAGAATCACGCAAAAAGCATGTTTCGCATCAAAGAGAGACAGAATGAATCGCGTGTACGGTGCAGCTTCGACGGTGTGACCTTCATGGCTTCGGCTTCGGACAACAATCAGGATCCAAATTCATCCGCTGTGGCACGTGTGCGTCCGTCCAAAAAATTCCCTTGCAAGTGGACGCAACATGCGTGCAAAATCTTTTGGACCTTGTTCGATCTCCTTCTCACCACAGGCTCACGCTATTTAATTCGGTTTCCCATACAAGCTCGACCCAAGCTTTGGGGTTTCGGGCTCAACCGCCAGACACGAAAGGCTCAAACAAACGTCTCGTCTTTCTGCAAAGTATTCAACTGGTGGCCAGTCTTCCCGACAATTCGAGCATTACCAACTTCATGAAGGAGGACCTGCATCCGCAGAAACAAGTTGCTCTGCAACTTTTGGGTGAGAATCTCAAGCAAGCATTCAGAAGGCCATAGAGTCGGCAGGTGCTTTCAAGGGTTTCGGGCTCAACCACGTGCTTTCAGGTTTGGGGCTCAACTGGAGGCAAGCTTTAAGGTTTCGGGCTCACCCGCATGCTTTAAGGTGTCGGACTGAACTAGCGAGAAGCTTTCAGGTTTGGGCCTCAACCGCACGCCTTGAGGCGCTTTCAGGGGCTCAACTGCAAGCTTTAAGGAGTTTCGACTCAACCTAGCTTTAACGGGCTGCAGGGCCTGAGGCTCAGGCGGGGAGCTGGCTCGTTGCATGGATGACACCCGTGATCCCCGTAACATACTTCCCTAATCGTCGCGACTCTTCTTTGCAAAAATCTCCGCTACATTGCCCGTGAGGTGTTCGGGGAAGACCTGGACCCAGGGTCGGGCAGGGTGGGGCTTGGGTCTTGAGGTCCTGCATTAAAGTGCAGCATCTCAGTAATACATGCGAGTCTTTGCACGTGGGCGGGCCTCGAAGGAATGCGCGGTGAGACGTCACTAGAGAAACCAACAGGGATGGGCAATCAGAAGCAAAGCCGTTCTCAAGAGGTGCGCTGCCAGCCTTTGATGCTAGTCTACCGGGTCCCGCCAAGTTCAAGTGGGTATCACACCGTG